GTCTTTCCGGGTAAGTTATTTTATCAACATCACAGATTTGTAAATGTTATTCGCTTGTGCTTATTTAACAACATTGCTGCAGGACTTCATGAATGGAAAACTTCCTCCTATTCCTGGCGACTACCCTACTCTTAATGATTGGGAGAATCACCTCACAACAATATTTCCTGAGGTGTGCGAGCTTCATCCTAGAAAATATCCTTTACCGTTGGTTTGTCTATCTATAGTTTATGAAAATTTTAACTTGGGTTAACTTTATCAGGTGAGACTCAAAAGATATCTGGAAATGAGAGGTGCCGATGGAGGACCTTGGAGAAGGTTGTGTGCATTGCCTGCATTCTGGGTATGAAATCTATTGCTCTAGGGATCATGATGTTGATTTCTCTAGGGAAAAACCAAGAAAGAAAAGAGAGAAAGCTAGTATTATACTGTGACCTTAGAGATAGAAACAATAGTAGTTGCAGCAAGGTTTTGCTTAACCGCATCCACTTCCAACAATCGGAAAAGCAACAGGGAAAGGGAGAATAGGATATGGTTGTGCTCAGGGGCAGAGCTAGAAGTTCGGATACGGCTTCGGCTGAACCCAGTAGCTTTTCCTCAAACATTATATTTATGTTAAAAATTTTTAAATATGTATTTAGAACCCCGTTATTAGCACTTGAAGTTGTCGTTCTAAAATCAAGAACCCATAAAGTTAAAATCCCTGCACCGCCTCTGGTTGTGCTCACTTCCTCTCCCACTGAGAGGAACTTCTTTCTCTTTCTCCTGTTTATTGGGACTGTTCACGTTTCTTATGGGCTACTTTGAACCAGATAGCTTAGTTAATCTTTTTTTTTTTGTGGTTAATTTCAGGTGGGCATACTCTACGATGAGGTGTCTTTGCAAACCGTTTTGGACATGACGTCTGATTGGACTGCAGAAGAAAGAGAGATGTTGAGGAATAAGGTACTATATCCTATTACAGTTCTCTCTTCTCTCAAGCATGAACATTTGGACAAGCAAAATCATTCGAAAACAAAGAGGGGCAAAGTATCATGGACTCTTCATCTGGAAAACACACATTTGTTTTTCATCAAGTTATAATTTTTTCAGTTCTTCAGAATTTGTCGTTTAAGAACTTATATAGAGTATTAGAGATGATTAATATCACCCGTTTTGATAGGTGCCAACAAGCGGTTTGAAGACACCATTTCGAGATGGATTGCTTAAGCATGTTGCTCAAGATGTTGTCAAGTTGGCAAAGGTGGGGTTAAAGCTTCTAATGCTCCACGGCTTGTCATATTTCTACATGTTTACTAACTTATTAGTATGATTTTTGATCTTCAGGAAGGCTTGGAGAGAAGAGGCTATAAGGAAACAGGATTTTTGAATGAAGTAACCGAGGTAGTCAGAACAGGTAAGTTATCTTCTTGAACTTGTGTTAGTATCTCTTTGCTTGTTCTCGGGATACAACACGACGTCAAAATGATACTACTTTCTTTAAACTGCTCGAGCTGTTTGGAATTTTAATTGAACTGTTCGCTGTACTTGGCATGTATCATTTACTACTGATAGGTGTAACACCAGCTGAGAAGCTCCTGGAACTGTACCATGGGAAGTGGGGACGAAGCGTGGATCCAGTCTTCGAAGAGCTTCTCTACTGAAGTTGTTTGAGAGTGCATTTCAATTCAGTCCTTTCCTATGTTGTAAATGATTTCTCAATTTCTTTGTGAGAGTTATATCTGCGAATTTTGTTTATCGTGAGACAAATAATCTAGCTAGATTAAGATCTGTAACATGTATCATATGGCATGAAACGTCATATGTAGTTCTCCCCTTGGATCTGATCAGTCTGCTTCGAAATAGCATTTTTATACACTGGGACATACATATTGCCCGAACAGTAACATAGCCATGCAGATGAAATAAATGAACCTTGGCTGACCACAATCACCAGCATTACTTGTTTCTGCTTAGGCTCTCGCTCTCTCAAAAACAGAGTGCGCGCGCACACACACACACTGACGAGCATTTCTGAGTTAAATTCTTGAAAAGATAACCCCTGTTCGAAATGAGCAATAAATCCTGTGTGTTGCAGCAATCACTGTTTTTTTCAGGTAGATTCTGCAATATTGTTACCACAGAAAGCTGCTACATTTTCAGGAGTGTAGTTATCAGTTGCAAAATAGAGTAGTGATACGTAAGGTTAAGCCTTATCCATGATTATTTATTCACATTACTCGAGCATTTTAAGTAGCAAGTCCCCTATATGCCAAGATTGGTTGAAGGAGTCGATCCGAAGACTTCTGATTTTTCAGCTTCGCAGACTAATGCCGAAAATCTTAAAAGTTAAACCTACTAAATTTAAATCTTGGATTTGTCTCTTCTTGGTGGACACTATTATCAATCAATTGTCCGGATTATAAAAAATGTTCTTGAATGGTTTCCCACCGCCAGTAGAGAGGCGCAAGTGCATGGTTAGCCATTCTTGCTTTATTGTGAAAGACCAAATTCGCCCGTTCTGCCATAAGTACCTCCATATTCTGCCGAGTAGAATTCGACAATGGGTTTGAGTTGGTGATTGTAAAACTTCCTTTTATCGATCTTGATTCGCATATAAATTCCGGAACTATGGACCTAACTGAACCGGAGAGCCCCGAAGTCCCACGGGTATCATAGAATTACGTTAGGTACCATATGAATAGGCCCATGATATTCTTGAAGGGTTTCCCGCCGAAATTTTAAACAAAAAATCTTAACTTCAGGACAACTCAAGACATTTTTGTCCTGAAAAATTGAACTAAAAAACTTAAATTCAGAACATACTGGCTAATTTCTAAATAGTAGTCATTTAGAATGGCTACCTTTAATGTAGGTGAAAATAACACAGGATAGCATGTTTTCGGACTGGTAATTGAAAAATAGTTAGCGTTTGGTCATTGAAAAATAGTTACTATTTTCCTGCAAGACGGAAAGTTCCAGCATAATATACTGGAGATCGGAGCACCTGTGTATGAACTTGCAGCATATTATACTGGAACTCCAGTATATTATGTTGGAAGTCCAGTATATTATACTAGAACTCCAATATATTATGCTGGAATATTTTTTGAATTTTGAACAGTGTTCATTCAGATTTATCTATACATAAAAAGTTGCTAAGTTTCGATTACTTTTGAAACTATGACTATTTTTCAATTATCAGTTGTAAATCTTACTATTTTTGAATTTTACGCTTACTGTAGAGGCATATAGTTAGTTCAGAGCTTAGTGGAACTGCAGTCAGTGCATGTGCTTGGGCCCAAAAGGGCTAGCAAGTCTAGAAACTTCATATGGGCCGGGTTACATTCCAGAGAAACTTGATTTTTATTAGCCCACTGTTTTTCCTTCTAGGTCAAGAAAACCACGGTCCAATCAGCGAAAAGCCCTAGACAGTTTCCACAATTACACTGCAATCATAACTACTACACGCACCTATCAAGAGCGTGTTAACACGCCAAAATCTTGTTCCACTGACTTAAGAGTTAAGGGTAGACTTGAAGACAAACGCTAGCGAAAAATGAAGTAATATTTGATTTTATTTGGTGGTTAACAAAAAATTAAAACGAAATTGAACTAAACATATAAATTATATAAAGAAAAAAGTTATACTGATTATAACTAAAAAAAAGGTTATAAAATGAAATGAATCGAAAATGTGATCAATAGTATTTTTACTAATTATTTATGCATAATATATGTAACAATTAAAGATATAAATCATTAATAACTTATTGTAAACGAATAAATAAATAATCATATGTGAGCAAACTATTAGAGCGATCTTAAAAGTTTGACTAACCTACATTTACATGACATCACATTTAGTAATTATATTATCCCCTGGGGTTAGAGCAATTTCATAATAATCTTGATTTTAAAAGTGATTGAGTTAAAAACATATATTTTATGCACGTATATACAAAATGACTTGAATGATAAATAATTTGGATTGAATCATGTATAACAAGTTTTTTTTTTAAATGAAATTTTTTATTCAACCGAGTATAATTATGTGCATCAACTAGTATTTTTGACTTTCAAACTAGTTCTCCAAGACTATTCGTTACCTATCTATATCTAAGAAGAGTAGGCATTTTGGCGTATTACGTCAAGATAGGAAAACTATTCAAACTATTTAACAGATTTTTCCGTGTCGATTGTGTTGTCCTCTGATTTGTAGCTGTAGGACAATCTCTCTGATTCTGTGACTTATTTCTCTTTTGTGGCTTTGAAATCGTCTCGCATTTCTTTCCCGCCATATATGATAGATAGAGGCCACAAATAAGAAGCTTAGAACTCCAAATCTAGCTTTGCTATTTTTTGTTCGCTTGGCCATCCAGTATAACATACTATTAGAATAGAGTGATAGTTTAATTTTTTTTAAAAAAAGAGAAAGATATGTCCCCTTATATTTATGTTGACATAGAATCATTTATTGAGAGATATGAAACATTAACTATTAATTCAAACATACAAGGTGCGGAAATGATTTCAGTTTCAATGTATAGATAACGTTACATTGACGTAGATTTAATATGGTTGAGAAGAAAAATTATAATTGCCAAAATATCAGTGTTATAATGTTTTTATTTAGTTTATTAATTTAACAAATTAACATAATTAGTTAGGTGTTTTTACAATAAAATAACATAAATTGAACCATGTAGACCATACACATTGGCCTTTATTATCCTTACAATAAAAACTTATTCATATTGTGTAATGACACCAAATCAATCAATTTAATTTTAGTAGATAAAACTAAAGTAGAATACATATTGCTTAATTATGCTTAAGAGATAAATATGTGAGCACGTTAAACTAAGATTTTTACATTAGCCTTATCCCTCACAATCAAATCACGTGATATCACACGCGCTTTAGATTCCTCAAATCCAAGAGATTCCTTAACATTGTCGTAAATTTTCTGATTTAGAGACCTTTTTATATAAAATCTCAGTTCTCATAAAACTGCAAACGAACTGACCTTAAAAAAAAAGGGAAGAAAAAAAGGAAAAAGAAAAAGAAAAAGAAAAAGAAAAAAGCTAAAAGAAGACTAACGAGAAACACCGTTTTTTTACAACTAAAAACCAAATAAGAGATATCTAAACACAAAAAACACACACATGTTTGCAGACATATATTGAGGGACAAGAATCTATCAACCCTTGGTTTTTATGTGCTTTATTATTCCACAAAGGTACGTTAAAGATTTCATTTTTAATAGTTAAATGTTCCTTTAAATTTCAAGATTCTTGAATTTATAGTGATTCGAGACATATTTTGAATGTTTATACGAATCTTGCATGCAGATTTTGTAATTGGGTATTGATTATTTTGGTGATATAGTTAGTAGTTGCATTAATAATGGGGAGAGGGAGGCCTAGGGCTGTAGAATTAGGGCAAAATACAAGTGCATCCCCAATTGGGTTATTGAATATACCACCTGGGCCAGTGTATTATCCAACTGAGGAAGAATTTAAGGACCCTTTAGAGTTTATTTACAAGATCAGGCCAGAGGCTGAGAAATATGGCATTTGCAAAATTATCCCACCAAAGAGTTGGAAACCCCCTTTTGCATTGGATTTGAATGCCTTCACATTTCCGACGAAAACGCAAGCGATTCATCAGTTACAGGCTCGGTGCGCGTCTTGTGATCCGAAGACCTTTGAATTAGAGTACTATAGGTTCCTAGAGGAGCATTGTGGGAAGAAGGCCGCGAAGAAACGTGTTGTGTTTGAGGGGGAGGAGCTTAATTTGTGTAAGTTGTTTAATTCCGTCAAGCGGCTTGGAGGGTATGATAAAGTGGCGAAGGAAAAGAAGTGGGGCGAGGTTTTTAGGTTCGTACGGCCTGCTGGGAAGATTTCGGAGTGCGCCAAGCATGTGTTATGTCAGTTGTACCTGGAACATTTGTGTGATTATGAAGAGTACTATAATAAGTTAAATAAGATGAGAAATAAAAGTTACAGGAGAGGAAATGGAAGTGAGAGAAAAAGGGAGTCAGACTCCCAATTCTCAAGTTCTAAGAGAAGGAGAAAGAATAGTGAGTGTGATCTAACTGAAACGTGTAAGACGAAGGAGGAAGAACACGACCAAATATGCGAACAATGCAAAAGTGGATTGCACGGGGAGGTGATGCTTCTCTGTGATCGGTGCAATAAAGGGTGGCATATTTACTGTTTATCACCACCTCTGAAACAAATTCCACCTGGGAACTGGTATTGCTTGCAATGCTTGAATTCTGAAAAGGATTGCTTCGGTTTTGCACCTGGTAGAGACTTAACATTGGACGCATTTAGGCGCACTGCTGATCGTGCCAGGAAAAAATGGTTTGGCTCCGCATCTATTACAAAAGTGGAATTAGAAAAGAAGTTCTGGGAAATTGTGGAGGGATCAGCTGGGGAGGTTGAAGTGAAGTATGGCAGTGACTTGGATACTTCCATCTATGGTAGTGGATTTCCACGTGTAACCGACGAAAAACTATCATCAGTTGAACAAGGTACATGGGATGAATATAGTGCTAGCCCATGGAATCTCAATAACTTACCGAAGTTGCCAGGTTCGATGCTTCGAGCTGTACATCATAGCATTGCTGGTGTTATGGTGCCTTGGCTGTATATTGGAATGCTATTCTCTTCATTCTGCTGGCATTTTGAAGACCACTGCTTTTACTCCATGAATTATCTTCACTGGTATGAGTGCCAATTATTATACGTATCTTAAGTCCATTTCTTTTATTCCTATTAAATAAGTTACCATATGACAAGTTTGATTAGATGAGAACCATATTATTGTGTTCTTTCTCTACTTTTTTTTTGTACGGCTTGTATAATATTAAAAGAATTAGTTACTTTATACAAAAAGCTCTTTTTCATTTATGCTGAAAGTCACCATGTTAGTAAAAAGAATAAATTTCATAACAGACAAACAAAAGAAGAAGATCCACTTTCAAAGGCTTGTTATTGATGAAAATAATAAGTTCGATTTATTAAACAACCTATAATTGCTCATAGAAATGTCAGAGACCTCTTACCAGTAGTTTCATCTTATTTAAATGTGTATGCAATACAAGATAAGTAAGTTATTTTAGTTGCGTTGCTACGGAACTTCTTGCAGATACTTTATTACAGTTGATCTTGATATTAATTTCTTTGCATTATTGCCTAATGTGATGTGACATGCGTTTCCTAATAAGGTTAAAAATTTGGCATGTTGGTAAATGTGTGCGAATCTACAAATTAACTTTGTAGAATCCACGTAGCGTTGTTTATTGGGTTTTCTCAATCTACAGGTTGTGCTTTCACTAGGTCCCGTTCAACTGTTTTTGGCTGATATGATTTAATGGTCTTGCCGCCGGTAGCTTCGTCACTTGTTTAGCGTATCCTCCTTTGACTTCTCTTCTGCTGAAATGTTTCGTAGTACCTAACGGCCAGCGGGATGAAGCTTATCTCATTTTTTGCCCAGATTAGGTTGTCCCTAAATTATGAAAAGCATAGTCTACTCCTTTACTTGGAGCTAGCCTATCTGTCCAAGGAGAATACATATTCGAAATTACTCCGTTAAAATGTTGGTGCATCTATTAGATGTCCATTGGCTTCATATCCTTTTTTCATCACCCAATAACCAATATCCAACCACCACCCCCCCCACCCCCCCCCGCCCTAAAAGAAAGGAAAAAAAAAAAAAGACCCTCTAAATCCAAATAAAGTATGAGAAAAGGGGAACAAGGGATATAGCGTTGCTCCTTGCTGTTAACTATTTCTTCATAAGTAAGTTCTGTTGATCAGTGAACACCCTTCACAATTGCCTAACATGCACCATGAAGTACCCATGGCTTATATGTGTGGCGATGTGACCACTTCCTAGCAACTGAGTGGAGCTTCCTTTTTCTCTTCTGTCCCTCCCATGCATTTCATAGTTAATTGGTTATTGAAGCTTGATTAAAACAACTACACCTCAATCCCTCTATAGTTGAGTCCGGCATTGTGAAACCTCAATGACCATTATGCTTCATTTGTTCCTCTTAAAACACATGTCTCTTAGGACAAATTAGGTCTCTAATACTAGGGGTTCTTTCTCACGGTAATCCATACTGTGCATATAATCTATAACCAACTGAACGATATCACCAACGACTAAACCTTCGTCTCTAACTAGTTGGCATCTCCTGTATGAACACATTGTTTCCATTATGTTCTACACCTAACTAACTCCATGTGGATTTCAAGAGGTTGTAGGCCTTACCCGATTGCTTTGATATGCGATTTTAGGTCTAATTTGTCCCTTTTTAACACTTCCAGTTATCATAGTATCATATTGGGCCAGTGCATTTACATTTCCCGCTGATATCTTTTCTGCAATCAGGTTGATTAAGCTCATGATATCATTGTTTTGATGTCTTTTGTTTTGTGCATTACCAGTATACTGATAATCATTGATTGAATCTTGATATATTTATCAGTTAATAATCATTGATTGAATCTTGATATATTTATCAGTTAATTAGTTCTTCTTGCATCCTTTCAGGGGAGAGCCGAAATGTTGGTATAGTGTTCCTGGAAATGAAGCCCAAGCTTTTGAGAAGGTTATTCTGAACACTTCCTATCCTACATTAGTGTCATAGCTTTTGCATTTATTTACAAATTGTAGGCTAGTAAAGTTAAAACATATCTCTTCTACTGTGAATTAAATTTGACGCAAATACATGTTGATCCAAGATCTTGATATTTGAATGTTGGCTTTCATGAGATTTTAGTTTAATGTGAGCTTTGTCCTTCGTCTTAAAATGGTTTTATGGAGACGGTTGAACTGAAATGAGGCAAGTGTAAGGTCATGGTAAATTTTCTTGTTCTTCATACTATTTGGTTCTTCAGTTCTTCATACTATTTGGTTCTTCAGTTTTATTGATTTGTGAATCATCTCATATGAGAAGTAAATCATAATCTATTTTACCTTGTACTTCCATGTTTAAATGAATGAGTTCATGACCGATTATTCTGGCATGTTAACTTGATAGATGTACAGGATAGCTGGAGTCCTGCTAAACCCACAGGTAACCGATGGCTATATATAATAACATGAGTAACCAACATTCAGGGCTTTACCAGGAGGTGCTTTGGAAGATGTAAATAATCCCTATTCGTTAGGGGCTTGGACATCATTGGTTGTGGTGTCTTATCTGTATTAGTTTAGTGTCTAGTTAGTGTTAGAAGTGCTGTTGCATATTCTTTCATTATGTTTTGGCATAGAGAGATTACCTTTTCCATGTTCCTTGATACATTGCATTGATGCTAGTTATTTTCCTATTTTAGCTGCTTGAGAAGTGATAAAGGAATACTTGATTGCTGTTGACAATTAACTTGTATCAATGTTTATAAATGGTTTTTACATGTAGCTTTCCCTCATAAATTTCAAAATTTCGACCTTTTCTTGCTGTTGTGTAACTAGCAAATTATGTGCAGGTAATGCGTAATAGCCTTCCCGATCTGTTTGATGCGCAACCAGATCTGCTATTTCAGCTTGTAACCATGCTGAATCCACGCGTGTTGCAAGAAAATGGGGTTCCTGTTTATAATGTAGTACAGGTTTGTTGCAGGACTTAATACTCAGATGTTTCTCCTTGTGTCCTGCTCTGTCTTTTTCCTTTGTAGTTTTCTGGTTCCAAAATTCATGGACGATGTCATGATACTGCATTTGCGTCTTTTTCTTCGTAAATAGAAGAGCATGAAAATAAGGAGAAACTGTCCCGAGAGTGAAAAAAAAGGAGAGCTTTTTATAATAATTTTTACTGTTTTGTGGAGCCAAACTTTTTTTTTTCCGCTTCCAAACTTATGTTCAACTATTATATGGCCAGGAGATAGGAGGATTTCTTTCTATAGATATTATAGCTTAAGTTTTAGTTGAGAAACTAGGAAAACAGTTTTTTCCAATTCAATTGAAAATGGTACTTCTATTGAATCTAAAAACTGTAGGAAAAAATAGAGAATAAAGATATTTTATGGTCCCTAAGATTCGGCAGGACGTTTTGTTCGGTGCCTGAAGTATTGATTATGCCAGTTGTATGTCGTTGCATATTGGTGTTTAAGGGGTCCTTTAAAATACTATTGGCTGTTTGATTCACATTCCGTATGTTTTGATATTGATGGAGGATACTATTATCTTTCCGTAGCCCAAATGTATAAATTAGGAAAATAAAAAAATAAGTGTGTCAGCACTCCTATGCCACCCACAACAGATGCAGTAAAAAATCAGGATTTATGAGGGGTATCACACAAAACACATTGAAAAAGAGTTTGGCTAAACAATATCTTTTTCTAAGGCTACATGTCAAAGGTAGGGTGACCTTTCAGGAGTCTACTGGTATTCTGAATCTCTGTAGTTGGATAGAACCCGAGGATTGCAAAAATGGTGAGTGATAAGCAGGTGATAAACAGCTGCCGTTTTGTCTTTACTTCTTCAGTACACATTACATTTTATATATGTTATGTTTCAGATCAATTTTTGGCATCATCCTTTGAAACTTGTTTTCTCTTTATATTTCGTCCTCCATGTTATTGGTTAAAACTTTTTCTCTTCTTTAGTTTTGTATTTTGTCATTTGACCTCCAAGCTTCATTATCAAAGGTATATGTTATCTCTCAAACCCATTAGAATTAGGCTGTCGTGAGCCTTGGGCTGCCTAAACTTTATGTCATACAACAAGGATGCAAATTAAAATGATCTATATTGTAGGGGCCTAATTCTTTACCATGGTCATGCCTTTGGGACCAGAAGTTACTTGAAGAATTTAAGCAGCACGAAGCCTTTTCCTTTACCTGTCTATAGTACTAATATGTGGGAGAAATGTGCCCCCAGAGCTTTGATCTAGTGGTAAGAGTGCAGGGTGTGATGTATGGTTAGGCGCACGTCACGAGTTCGAACCTTGCTATAGACAAAAGCATGGTATTGGATTTAAGTGGAGAAGGGTAGAGGGGCGGGCCTGTTATCCTTCGAGTTTGGAACCGTTCGCTATTGGCCCTTAGGGACTTCTAGGTTATTAAACAAAAATGTGGAGAGAACTTAAAGTCCTAATATTAAGCAAAGTAGGATTGGGGATTTCTGACAATGGAGTAGACTGTATAGAAAATAATAATAATTCTGAAGAAACTCGCAATCTAATGACCAAAGATATTCAACAAATTATAAATATATTTTTTTATTTGACTTTAGTAGGAAGCTGTAACTCAATGAGCAATATCCCCTTAACAGTACTTACGATACCCTTCATGACAGACTTTCCAGTGTAGAGGAACCAATTTTAAAGCTTTTCTCATTTTCCACTTTTCATTTATGTGGCTTGTGTTTGCTTGTTTTTACTTTATGGTAGGAGCCTGGGGACTTCATTATTACCTTTCCCAGATCGTATCACGGAGGCTTCAACTTCGGTGAGCCATGCATATTTGCTATTTTATCTTTGGTTTGCAAAAAGTTCGAACAGTTTGTTCTTATTCAAATGCTAGTCATGCATGATGCAGCTCTCTCCTGTAATCTTAACTGCATCTTGGAATTGCAGGCTTAAATTGTGCTGAGGCTGTCAATTTTGCCCCTGCCGACTGGTTACCTCATGGTGGATTTGGAGCAGATCTTTACCAGCTTTATCGCAAACCTGCTGTTTTGTCTCATGAAGAACTGCTCTGTGCAGTAGCGAGGGTCTGTATCCTAGCCCCGTTCGCCATTTTCCATGGCCTGCTGTGGCCAATGCTTTGTTTATTCGTTCTTTGCCCATGGATGTAAAAGCTGGCTCTTTACATGCTTTCTGTGGTTGGGATTACCCATTGGTGCACTAAATTTTTTGAAGTAGCTATTGGACTGCTCTGCCTACAATATTTTCTAAGTTCTTGACCAAACTTATGCTAATTGATGCTTCTTCTGAAGAACTATTGTTGTCATACTTTCGTTGCTTGGTATTTTTGTAGATAACTTTTCCATGCTTCTATTTACCTTTAAATTTTAGTCATCCCAATTTAACAATTTTCATCACCTTGCAGAGCGAATTTGACAGCAAGGCAGCACCTTACTTAAAAACAGAACTGGCCAGGGTCTATTCTAGAGAAAAGTCTTGGAGAGAGCGGCTTTGGAAAAATGGCATTGTTAATTCTTCTGCCATGCCACCTCGTCTGAAGCCTGAATATGTGGGCACGGAGGAGGTACTTTAACTTTGATGTTGCTTCTTGAAATTTTGACTATGAGTGTGTTCTGAAGTGTATTTGACAAATTTCACCGTATCTTCTTCGAAGGATCCTACATGCATCATATGCCAGCAATATTTGTATCTTTCTGCTGTAGTATGCAGCTGTGCACCATCATCTTTTGTTTGTCTTGAGGTAAGTATTTTTTATTTGTGCAAGGAATCAATTATAAATTGTTTTTCTTTTCTCGCTAGTTCCTATATGTGATATGCTTCTATGAGTTCTATTCTGTCTATAGAATGTTACTCTGGCCAAATTCAAGCTTAACTTAGCTGATTGTAGAAGCATAAAATCATATTTTCCTTGTAGGTTGTTCATTCTAGCATCTAGGAGGCTAGGGCATTCTCAGCATTGTTCTTCCTCCAGTATCAATATATTTTGAATGTAAACTAACACAATATAGAGTTCCAAATTTTAATATGACAACAGATAGGACTTTCCCATCATCATGCAGCTTAAGTTTTGTTTTATCAATTCTAGAGCCTGTGGTGAATTATATAGTTCTTATTGCTTTTGGGATGGTTTCTTTTTTTTGGGTGGGAGTGGGGGTGGGGTGGGGTGGGTGGATTAGTGATTAAACAGCTGAATGCTGTACTGTACTGCCATTGGCATTCTGTGTAATCTTTGTCATACTTAGTCATCAATTTTGGTTGTTGTATTTGCTTTCTTGACTAACCATGAGTTTTGCTTGTAGCACTGGGAACATTTGTGTGAATGTAAGCCACAAAAGCGTCGACTCCTTTATCGTCATACGCTGGCTGAATTGAATGATTGGGTGCTTACTACTGATAAGGGTAATCATGAAGAGGCTGCAAAAAACTTCAGAAAGCAACTTCTATCTTCCAACGATCCACCTGCTTTGTCAAAAAAGGTTCTGATCATTACTTCCAATTCCATATGAGAACATTTTTTGGGTGGAGTGTCTTGCTTTTCTTATTCCATTTGATGCTCAAAGGGATTCCGGTTTTGTTCCCTTGTTTTCTGGCCTAGTGAGGATTAAAATTTTCTCTTTGGACCCTCTCTTGGGCACCATACAGTGTTCTGCATTTCGTTGCTAGCTTTTCTAATTACTTGTAGATTCCCGTTTAACCACTTAATTAGAGATTTCTATACCCTAGTTTTCAGCAGATCTGTAGTTATTGGCTTTTGTCCCGGGGGGGGAGTAAGGTTCTTGCTTCCATTCTGTTGCTTGTCATTATTTAGAGGAAGTAGAACAGAAAGTATATTTCTTGGTATTGATATTCATTAGAGATGGAAGAACAAGCTCAATGATTCTTTACCAGTGTTTAATCATTTGTGCTTTGATCTTTTATATCTGAAATGTTAATACTACTAATTTTCCTTCATAATCTGTGTCAACGACTGGTGAGAAATTCCTTCCTACTTTCTCACTTTCCTTTACCATGTCTAACTTTCTCGCTATCGCACACCCAATCCTGTGACTTAGTCTAGAAGCTTAACTATCTTAATGATACTAGTGGTCAAGAAGCTTAACTATCTGAATGATACTAACGGTCTTCAGATACATGCTTCTCGAACCTTTTCTGCTCTATTTGGGAAGTTCTGATCTTTGATAGGCTGATACCTCAGTGTGCTGTTCCACATTTTCTGATGCGGTTGATACTTTGAGATGTGGCATCTGCAATATTTCTTGCAGATTCGTGATACAAATAACGTGTTATATAATCTAAAGGGAAAAAATAGTTTTTGCTAATATGTGCCTTGTGCAAACATAAAAAGTATTAACTTCTAAATTTTGCGGGTTCTAACCAATGGCCAAATGTAGGTAAAAGGTGGATGTATCACACACGTGCAGCTTGCTGAAAAATGGCTGATGAAGTTCAGTAAGCTTTTCCAGGATCCTTATTCTTCAGATGCTTATCATCGTGCATTGAAGGAAGCCGAACAGTTTATGTGGGCTGGTCATGAAATGGATCCAGTGAGATTTCAGCCATATCATTTTCTAGAACTCCTTAGTCCTAGATTTTATTCCTCTCTTCAACTAAATATCTGTCAAATGGGGTTTAGGTAAGAGAGTTGGTGAAGAAGTTGATTGAAGCTCAGAGTTGGGCTCAAAATGTTGAGGACTGTCTCTCTAAAGTAAAATCTTGGATGTCTGATCGCAGTAGTGATGTAATGAAGGTGCAGATGGAAGTTGTTAACAGTTTGCTCAGTTTAAACCCTGTACCCTGTAATGAACCTGCACATCTCAGATTGAAGGTGAAATGCATTTTGTTTCTGATTTTACCTCTTTTATTCTGCACTTATATTTTGCACTGGTTCTGACCACCCGAGTATGCTTCATGTACAGGATTTCCAGAAAGAAGCGAGCCAGCTGACTCTGGAGATTGATTCTGTTCTTTCATCATGCTCAAATATTCTTGTAAGCCAGTTCATTCACCTCGTTGATAGTTGTCTAATTGCATATTAGTGTGGTTTGATATTCTATGAATCTGTGGTACCCCATATATTTGTTAGTTTATGTTTCTGCCGCATTACCGAACAGTTTGACAGGTGTTAATGCTGTTCATTGAGAATGGTAGTTCAGGTTTGGGTATAATTTCAAGTTTTTGTTATGACATTTGTGGCTAATACAGTTGTTAAGTCCCACAGTGGTTGAGGGAATCGGTTATAGTCTACTTATATGGTCTTTGGCAATCCTCCCCTCCAGTGTTAAAAATAGCGTGAATCGAGGAAAAGCGACAACCCCCATTTCACGAAAAGCGAGAAGCGAAGCGCCCGCTTTTTTGAAGTGAAGCGGATTTTTTTTTAAAAAAAATTAAAATAAATACGGCATAGACAACACATGTAATTGTGAGCAAATGTTCAATACTTGAATTAAAAAACTAAAGAGTAGCATCAATTAAAGCACAAAATAAGCATCATATTCTTCTACAAGATTGTCAAGAGTAGCATCAATTAAAGCACGAAATGAGCATCCTATTCTTCTACAAGATTGTCAAATTCTTGTATTCCACTATCATTATTATATTGCTCGTCATCTTCTTCAACTTCATCTTCTTCATCAACTACAGACGAAGTAGCTGCCTCTTTTCCCTTCCTCTGTGAACTTGAAGTTGAGGTACTCCCCCTCAACCTCAAACCATAAATCCTCTCCCCAATTCCACGCGCCTCCGCAACATCACCCCAAGTGATACCAGAAGTATCATCAAATACTTCTTCATCTGCATGATCTTCCGGGACTCCAGTTAGCCATTCATTAGCATCATCGATGTTGTCCAAACTAATTGGATCAATTACATTGCGAGCGTTGTAACGACGCCTCAATGTTCTATTGTACTTAATGAAGACTAGATCATTGAGACGCTTCAAGGTTAGTTTGTTCCTCTTTTTGGTATGAATCTGCAAATAATAAGTAATTAGTAAGATTAGGACAATTGAGATATAATTTAATTATCTCAATATACTAAATCTTTCTTATTAGTTCTTACATGCTCAAACACGCTCCAATTCCTTTCACACCCGGATGAGCTACATGTTAGACTTAGAACCTTGATGGCAAACTTTTGTAAATCTGGAGTGGAATGACCAAATTGCTTCCACCATTCAACTGTAGAAGTAGAACAAATTTTCAAAATATAATATTAATAAAGAAATAACTTATTAACTATAAAACAACATATAAGCACTCGCTCACCTGGTGACTTTGTCGTTCTTTGTCTAATGGCCATGTTTTTTCCAAAAAGTTGTTCAGCATTCCTATAAATACTAAATTGCTCTGTGATTTTATCTTGCACGGATTCTTCAGGTATCAACTTCTCAATGCATTCATGGTATCAACTCCACAAAGGTTCATCTCCTAGAATCCTCTCTTCATTGGCATAAAACAGTTCCGGGTTCAAAACAAGTCCAGCTGCATGCAAAGGGCTATGAAGCTTACTATCCCACCTTTTATCTATGATCTCAAAGACTCTTTTGTATTTTCTTTGATCACTAAAAGAGTCTTGAATAGCCTCCTTTGCCCTATCAATTGCTTCGTACAAGTAGCCCATTGGTGGCCTTTGCTCCCCATCCACCAAACGAAGCACTTTAACTAAAGGACCACCAATCTTCACTGCATGAACCACATTGTTTCAGAATGAAGTAGAAAGTATAATATTTGCAGATTCTCTCCCTCGAGCTTCCCTTCCATAGGCACTGCTAGTGTACTCATATGAAACAAACAACTTCTTCAAATTGCCTTTTTGCTCATACATCCTAGCCAAAGTCGAGAAAGCAGTAGCAAATCTTCGTCTTTGCAGGTTTCACCAAGCTTCTTTGTTTAGTGAATCTCTTCATCATGTTCAATAATAAAGGCCTTTGAACAATATAGGAATGCACTCTAACTGCCTGATTAAAGACAGTACTGAAGGGTCTTTCCTTGAAAATATCACCAAAGATCAAATTAACAGAATGTGCTGCACACGGAGTCCAATAGATATGCGGGTACGCAGCAGACATCAAATCACCAGCTTTAACATTTTCACTGGCGTTGTCCGTGACAACTTGAACAACATTTTCTGCTCCAATAGAGTCTATTGTACTCTTGAACAAGGAGTACATTTTGGTTGAATCAGTCGAAGAGTCGCTTGCATCAACGGACTCAAGAAACAGGCTTCCCTTACGAGAATTCACCAAGATATTGATGATCATTTTTCCATTTCTCGCTGTCCACTTATCCATCATAATAGAACAACCAAACTTGTCCCATTCTACTTTGTGCTCCTCAACGATTTTGTTCACCTCTGCCACCTCTTTTTGTAGATATGGCCCACTAACTTCATAATAAGTTGGAGGCTTCATTCCTGGGCCATGTTGGCCTACGGCCTCAATAAAAGCAGCAAAAGTGTCGGTATAATTAACACAATTAAAAGGAAGACCTGCATCATACATCCATCGGGCAAAAAAGGTTACTGCACGGTCCCTCAAAATCGCTTTTGCATCAACTTGAGGATTACCACTTTTTCCTCCCTTATCTCCAGATTTTTGCGGGAGGTAACAATCCATAGGACCTTTGGTCTTGCCAGTAGATCCACAACTAGAAGACATTGGTGGAAGCATCCTTCCCCGCTTTTGTGATTTTGGTGGAAGCGACGAAGCATCGTCACCTTCTTCTGTTTCATCATCATCGTCATCAAGATTATAAAGTTCTTGTTCATGAATCATTTGAGTCTTTAACTCTTTCTTTTTTTGAAGGTATGCTTTCAATTCTTCCTTCACATGACCCGGAACTTTAGGACAAGATGCGACATTTGGATCACCACCGATTAGATGCGCTTTTTGACGATAGATTCCTCCATTTGTAATCTTATCACAAAAAAGACATCTAATGGCCATCTTGTTGGTCTCGCTAGCTCTTGCCGAGTAAGCCCAAGCCGGGTCTTTCCTATCTTCTTTTGGCGCCATTAAAATATCAACTACATAACACATAAGAAAGGCAGTAAGAACTAAGAATAAAAAATATATAATTTGGCAGAAATTTGGGCAGAAATCTGGGCAGATTTTGGGCAGAAACGGGGCAGAAATTTTCTGGAAAAAAGTCGCCAGCATTTCGGCGCTTTTTGGACGTTTAGAAAGAAAAAGAAAAAGAAAAAGAAGAAGAAGAAGATTAGAAGAAGAAGAAGAATGAATGAATGAAAATAAAAACATACCTGTTGAAACTTGAAAGTTGTTGTTGACTTGTTGTAATGTTGAAGAAGAAGAAGAAAAACCCTAGTTTGTTGTAATCTTGAAGAAGAAGAAGAAAGACTTGTTGGTTTTTTGAGGAAGAAAGGGCTGCTTCAAAACCCTAGTTCACGTTGCTGCTGAAGAATGACAAAAACAGAACTGGATTTTGGGTCTTTTAATTGAAAAAGACACGGTTGGGCTTTTATTTCAAGAAGCGACCGCTGCTTCCGCTTCGCCCGCTTCACGCTTTTTAGGTAGTAGCGATCGCTTTTCAGTACCTGCGTCGCTTTTGGTACTGGAAGCGCCTGACCCTACGCTTCTCGCTTAAAGCGAGAAAGCGAGCGCTTTTTTGAACACTGCTCCCCTCATAAGCGCTTTTCGGGATTGAGTTAGGCCCTAGGTCCAATTCTTCACAATAACATATTCCCCCCCCCCCGGGCCCCACCACCCACACACCAAAAAAAAAAAAAGGCTGTCTAATTTCTTAATCTTTTATCTGCCTTTGATATCATTCATAGTCTTTACATTCTTGGATCATCTGGAAATGTTTCTTCTTCTTTCCTTTGAGGTTAGGAAATGTTGCTCATTCTGAAAAGGTGTTGCTCATTCTGTTCTCTTATGTTTGTTAACTATTTCCTCATTGCCTTTGATATCATTCATAGTCTTTACATTCTTGGATCATCTGGAAATGTTTCTTCTTCTTTCCTTTGAGGTTAGGAAATGTTGCTCATTCTGAAAAGGTGTTGCTCATTCTGTTCTCTTATGTTTGTTAACTATTTCCTCATTGCCTTTTCAGGTATCTGATTTGGAGGCCTTGTACTCCAAGACTGTAGATTGCCCCATCTACATCGAAAAATGTGAAGAATTGTTGAACAAGTTGTCGGCAGTTAAGGTATACCTTATTATTTTGTAAGTTTTCCGTCTTATACACTGTTTAGGAAAGGTTACCAGGCTGACATTGCCACTCTTTAACAGTGGTACATTATAATGTCTCGTTGTGTTCTCCTTGAGAGAAAACATCGAATCAAACTAAAGGAAGCGAAGATTAGGAGAAGAGAAAGAGAAAATAGAAGAAACAACCTTTTTTTTCTCTACAAAATATTTTAGGTTTAGAACCAATAATATAAAAAAATATAAAAAAGAATACAAAACCCCTGAAGTTTGGTTCTTATCCCCAAAAAGTCCTGTTTGCTTTTGTTGGGGCATGTGCGATTGACTGTAGAAAAGAGGATCAGCAAATTTATGATCGTCCGTTGTGTTCAACTGGTTTATAGTTACTTTTCCTCAGATTCCTGCCCACTTATGATTTCCTCTTTTTCTTTGACTTATTGTCTTTGTTGTTCTCTGTGCAAATATTGGAAACTGTTTACTGCTGGAGAAATTATAAGATCTCATGACGTGAAAAAGATGATAAATGCTTGTCGGTGAATATTGGAAACTGCTTACCGCTTCAATATTAAAAAATGGAATGAGTGATGCTTTATAATCTTACATATTGAGCTTCTTCAGGCTTGGGCTGAAAGAGTAAGAAAATGCTTGTCTGAGACTTCTGCAAGAGTTGAGGCAGATATTGTCTACAAATTAGAGAAGGAGGTGATCTAGTTATCTTTGCTTTCTGTGATGCTGTCATTTTTTTGGGATTATTTGTTTTGTGATTCTTCTATTACTTCTTTTTTCATTTTCAGAGTTTAAGCCTTCAAGTGCAACTTCCTGAAGGTGAAATGCTCCTAGATTTAGTTAGACAAGTTGAATGTTGTCAATCTCAGTGCCGTGAGATGTTGGAAGGTTCTCTCAGTCTCAAGGTTGTTCCTACCTTATCATATCTTCGTGAAAAGCGTTGATGGAAATAGAACTTCGCGTAAATGCCACATTTTATGTTGTACAGGAACTTGAATTGCTTCTCAACAAATGGGATGGTTTGGCGGTTAATATTACAGAGCTTGAACTTCTAAGACAATATCATAAAGATGCTGTGTCTTGGATAGCGCGTGCTAATCATGCTCTATTGGGCATCAGCGATAGGGAGGATCAAGAAACTGTATTTGACGAGTTAACTTGCCTTCTAAAGGATGCGTCGTTGCTTAGAGTTAAAGGTTTGGAGATCTCATTTAATCGTTTGTTTACTAGTAGTGGTGTAATGCAAATAGCTATAATATTTTTCACATTTCTGACATAGTGGAGGAGGTGCCTTGTTTGGATGTTGAGCTAAAGAAGGCTGGTTGTAGGGTAAAAGCTCTGAAGGTAAGTAGAGTGTCATTCTTCTCCTATCACTTTCTGCCGATCGTTAAGTTACATTTTCAACGTTCTTATCATGTGCTATCCGTCTTTTTCATTTTTCTTTCTTGGCTATCTGATTCTTTTTATGGTTCATGACTGCTTTGACATCTAATCACTTACGCTGTCTAAAGTAATTCATGATTCATGGCAATATTTCGGTACTCGTAAATCTTTAGTTCACTCTGTCTGAATTTTCTGAAATTCTTTCGTACAGGCACTTCGTTGCAAAATGTCCATGGATTATATTGAGCAGCTGTTGATGGAGGCTAGCATGTATTATTACAATTTTCGCTTTACTAATAATGATTATCTTGAAAAATCTATTGATCATCCCATCTGACATGTGAATATATCTCCAGATTGCAGATTGAGAAAGAGAAGTTGTTTGCTGATGTTTCTGAGGTAAAAGCGAATGCTGTAGCTTGGGAGGAAAGTGCCAGGCGCGTCCTTGTAAGCAAGGAACACATATCTGAATTTGAGGATGTTATAAGGTGTTGCCTCTTTCCCTGATTTAGTTATTGCTTCATATTTCTTGCTTCTGTGTTTGTGTATTTATTCTTCTTCCTGAGTATTATTTGAGTTTTGCAAAATATTTAGGGCTTCCGAGGAGATATTTGTGATTCTTCCTTCACTTGACGAAGTCAAGGATGCGGTATCAATTGCGAAGTCTTGGTTATCTAGGTCACAGCCCTTTTTATCACGTGACTCCATGGCACTTGGTTCAAGTCCTCTTGAAGTAGAGACTTTGAAGGTTAATCATTTGCAAACTCTGCACTTGCGAAATATAACGAAGCTCTTACATCCTTTGTTGTAATTTTTGCAGGAATTGGTATCAGACTCTAAGCTTTTGAAGCTATCTTTGAGAGAACAACTGATGATTCAATCATTGCTTGATACTTGCACCAGGTGGGAGCAGGATGCCTGCTCTGTGTTGTATGATACAGAGTGTCTGTTGAATGTCGAAAATATAGGTGATGAAATATTGACCAGACATGGCAAAATTGAAAAGCAAATACAAGCCATAGACTCGGTTGTAGAAGCAGGTCAAGGTCTTGGTTTCAAGTTTGATTTGGTTCCTAAACTTCAAGATGCTTGTTATACACTTCGTTGGTGCTTTAAGGCTCTATCTTTTGCTACTGCAATTCCAACACTTGAGGTAATTAGTTGTCACATGTCAGTCTTCTTTTCCACCTAAAGAGAGATACGGTCTGGACATTGATATGTTGTTTCCGCTTCTTCTCAATATGGCTGTGAATTAGTGCACTCCTTGTTATTTGGGTAAATAGATGTTAGGTTAACCGTTTGCTTTGGCTTCTTTTGGTAGCCATTGTAAATTATTGTTTCTGGTCCTGTTTCCTGCCTATGGTGTTGTCTGCATTTAAGGATCAGAAGCTCTAATATCTTTTAGTCTGTCGTCAACAGTGAGAATTTGATTATTGATGGTTATTCAGTTGGAGCACAATTCTCTTATAGCCATTTTGCAGAGGTACATGGTATATCTATTCGCTTCATTTGGAACTACAGGTGGTAGTATAGTTGCAGCACCATACCTGGTTCTCCTCTTCTCCTTTTTTGTATAATGGCAAAATGTAAACGGAATATGGTGTTGCTGACCTGAAGATGGTCACTTAATAAAGTGACTCCTTGTTCGAGGATATCACACTGCGCATGACACCCTACACCCTTCTTCCTCCCTTTCTTCTTCATATGTTAGCCAACTACTGTGTTGTTAGGACCTTGCACTGTTCTTTTCTTCTTTTTTGGGTTATCAGCTGGTTTCCTTCTTTAGCCCCAAATTTGGCATATCGGGCTTTTTTTTTTCCTTTGCGATTGCATAGAAATTTTGGTTTTGTGTGTCCACGTGTAAGCCTTTTAATTCTATTGTTTGTCTTACCTCCCTGTGTAGTGGCTTTGTTGCTTTTATTGTGCTACATGGATTGAGACATTTTTTTGCGGCTTGTCTGTACCTCCCAGAATGATGGTTGCATGCTCTTACGTCTATTTGTTAATATTGCTGTAGGAAGTCGAGACAAATGTGGAAATTGCAAGCCACCTTCCTATGGTGTATACCACTTGCAATTTGTGTAGTGCCTTAATTGATTGGGTAAATTGGCTTAAGAGAGCTTTGGAAGTCTCCATCCAATCTACTCGTAGAAGATCAAATTTAAGTGATGCTGAAGAAGTTCTCATGCAGTATCAGGTACTTTTGCATCCATCTTCTATAGCCTTTGTTGGGATAGGTATTTTGATGTTTCTATTATTTGAACTTCTCCTAGTTGCATCGTTACGTGTGTGAATTTTATACTGTGTGTTTGCTCCTTCAAGCTGCAGAACATTCATGTCTCATCTCCTGTAATGATCAGTCAGCTTGAGACGGCTATCGAGAAACACATGTAAGTTCCGCACTTGATGCAGAATTTCCTTTTACGCGTGTAAGTTATTATAGCTCCTTCAGCAATAAGTTATTATCAGAAGTGTGGAATTCTAGAGACCTAACTTGCTATTTTGAGATCATCTCATATGATAGGTCAAATATCTTATATTCTTTATGTTTCTTCAGTTTCTTTTCTTGGTTTCCTCTGGTGAGTGCATGTAAATATCAAGGTAGCTTTTGAGAACCTATCACTCTCTTTGAAAGACTGTAGCTTATCCCATACTAATCTCTACATTCTTCCCACATTTTTTCACTATTTCTTCTGAAGTTACTGTTGTTATTTTTGATTTAATAATTATAATGGCAATAGTTATTACTATTGTCTTGCCTCTACTGAAAGGTCATTCTGTTGGTACAATTTGGCATGATTCCACTGCACTATTATCCCTATACAAGCCCTTTTGTACCCTGCCTTAAAAGCAACTATAGAAAGAAGTCAAGTAATAGAAAGCAATGACAAGGGATTGAAAGGATAACTGGGAAGATAATCGTGAAAGAACTTGCAAAGTAATAAGGGGAAAGGAATATAGCAGATGAAATTATGTCTGGTAGGAGTTATTTGACATGCACACATCTGAAAACTTTCTGGCCATATTGCCATATCTATTTTCTATTTTTTTTTGGGTTGCTTTTCTGCAATTTCTTATTAGTTTGTATCACTTACAATTTAATTTTGGCAGGTCATGGGTGGATCACGTGCATTTATTTTTCGCCCTCAACTTTAGGGATCGATCGTGGGATCTATTACTGCAGCTTAAGGTAATATATTTGGTTTGCTGTGTTTTCTTTTCCTTCCTACAAGTTGTAGCTTTTATTTCTTTGGAAAGTTTGTTATTGGGGTATTTTTGTTGCATTACATTTCCATTTTGAGTTTTTATTATACTAGAAGATGGAAAATTAGTTTAATATTGCATCTTGCGAGAATTTCATCTCTGATCTCTTGGGAACTTCTTATGAAGTGTTAACTTTGTCAATTCAAATTTCTCCAACTAAATGAGAGCAGGAAAGACATTGTTCTATAAATGAAGGGCTAGCCTATGTGATTCTTCTTACTGGAGTATATTTTTCCTCTTTCCTAAGTAATCCTTCTTTTTTGATAAGTAAAAGGTTTTTGTAGTCCTTTTTTTCTCATGTGGCTCATATTGTACCAGCAGTCTAAACCACCCTCCTCTTTCCCTCAGAACCCATTTGAACTGGAGTCATTGTTTTCTCACTTCTGATTCAAATTCATGCTGTCAGTTAACCTTACGGAGATTGATTTCTGGAAAATTTCATCCTACTATGATTTCTGGAAACTGAGGAAGTGCAAAGAAACACAGAAAAGCACTAGTTGAGAAACTTTATGAAATATGATAATGAGAAAGTTCTCGTGGATGTGACTCGGTGATTATCATCTGGCTTATTGTCCACATTTAGGAATTTTCATTCATGGAAATGGCCCGAAAGTTACTCTTTACCTCACTAACTAATTAATGTAGGGTCAAATGCATGGTTTTATACTTTGAAGCTTTAGCGCTCATTTTCTCATGCCATGTAGTGGTATTTACATGTGATACGGATACTTAGTGTCTAGTAATTTGAACACTTTCAGGAACAAGGGAGTAATGATGCCTTCAGTTGCACAGAACTAGATATGGTTTTCTCTGAGGTTCACACGATAGAGGAGTGGAAGTGCCGTTGTATGGGAGTCTTACAGGCTTCAGTTGAAGACGCTGACTTGCTTAGTGCGCTTCTACAGACTGAAAACTCACTTGAGAGATCAATCAGTATTTGTGAGAAATCTAATCACTCCCATAGCTTATGTATATGCTGCTCACTTGATGGTGCGAACCAGAAGCTTTTAACGTGTTCTACTTGCAAGGACTGCTTCCACTTGCAGTGCATTGGATTCTCAACCGGGGGCGCCAACGATTCAGAAGTTTTTGTTTGCCCTTATTGTCAATTTATGAACAGTGGAAAAATATCAAGAAATGGAAGTGATCCTCTGAATATTGGACGGAAGAATCTCAAGTTGCACAAGCTGGTTGAGCTCTTATCAGATGCTGAAGATCTATGTTTATGGATTCAGGAAAGAGCTGTACTTCATCAAATTGCTCAGAAAGCTCTTGATTTCAAAGCTCGGATAGAAGAGATTGTCGAGTTTGTTTTAGCTTATCCAGATAAAGACCTTAGCATAATTGCTAAAGAGTTCTGTGTTGCTTTGAAGGCTGTACATGTTGTTGGTGCATATGATTGCGAGGCAAACAGCAAACTTGAGTTGGCATTAGCAAGAACTTCTTGGAAAATCAGAGCTCAGAGATTATTAGACGGTTCTCAAAAACCCTCGATTCAAGTGCTTCAACGGCATTTAAAGGAGGGACTAGCTGTCGGCGTTCCTTCAGAAGATTATTTTAGACAGAGGCTGGCAGAAGCGAAGCACATAGGTTTGCAGTGGGCCGATATGGCAAAGAGGGTTTCAACAGATGGGGGCGCGCTTGGATTGGATAAGGTCTTTGAGATCATTACCGAGGGTGAAAATTTACCTGTATCGTGTGAAAAGGAGCTTAAGTTGCTAAGGGATCGAAGTATGCTTTATTGCATTTGTCGGAGACCCTATGATCAGAGACCGATGATCGCTTGTGATAAATGCGATGAATGGTATCATTTTGATTGTATCAAGTTATCCTCACTGCCTAAGATCTACATCTGCCCTGCATGTTGCATGGAAGGTGAGGATTTTGCATCAATATCAGCAAGCGGCGAAGAGAAGGTTGTTGCTGGCAAACACGAGGTACCTCAAACGCCTTCTCCGCGACACAGAGAAGGAAGAAGGAAATCAAGAAAACACAAATGGGAGAGAGTGGTAGCTGTGGATGTATCAAGAAGTTGTAGTAACATTGAACATCTGTTTTGGAAAAATAGGAAACCATATAGACGAGCAGCTCGTAGGCGAGAACATTTTGAAAGCTTGTCTCCTTTCATTTTTGTACAAAATACTTGATTATGTGTAGATACTCTTTTCCCTCTATTTTATTTATTCAAATTGATTCTCAATTATTGAGCTTTTCCCTCACTTAAATGCTTATCGGCTATATTGTTCGGATTCTCCGAAAATATTGCCAGGTGCATGCTAGATTTTCCAAAAGTAGTGTATTTTTGGAGGATCCGACACAGGTGCGGCAATATTTTGGAGAGACCGTGCAACATAGCTTATCGGCACTCAGTGTTTGCATCAAATCATACTAAAGGTTAAGCATAAAGTAAGGCGAAAATGTGTATTACTACTATGGTTTAGTGATAAACGTGTGAAAACACGCGTCACGTTAGTTCTTTAGTTTCTCGTCTAAGAAATGTCTAATATATCCTAAGGTGTAATCTTTCTTTTCAACAAGGGAGTGATAAAACTATATAATTGCTCATGCAGTTTAATTATCGAATATAAATTAAACTATTCTCTCAATAAATGAATGAGGAAAAATTGTTACATAACACAATAAACAAAAACTATGATGCATAAATCGTAGTGAGAAGAAAAAGGAGGATCAAAAGATTGTATAAATGATTATAGTTAGTTTCGTAAAAACAAATTCTTTATCTTAGTTTCTCTGCATTATTATTTATTAAGTGAAATAAAACGAAAATAGAGACAGAACCAAGAAATGGTTCGTAAACAATGTACACCAGACAAAATTAATGACTCTAATATCCTTCTGCATTTTCTTATTTTAAAACATCTGCATTTGCAAATATATTTTTTAGTTTATTAATAAAGCTTATATCTAACTTTGAAATACTTGTCAAAAACAAATATCACCATAATGTACTATAATTAATTCAACTATGCAGGATTTCGGACCCGTTTGTCCATAGATTTTTTTTCCCTTTTTTTGGAAATTCTTTTTCAAAAACGTGTTTGTCCATGAAAATTTGTATGTTTTTGAAGATTTTTTGAAAATGAGTTTTTCAAAAACCAAATGGTGGACCACTTTTTCAGAATTTTCGGGAAAAAGTTTTTTTCCCGCTCAGAAAAGTGCAATATTTTTTCAAGTGAAATGCATGTCCAAACATAATTTCAAATTCCAAATACCATTTTTCAGCTTAACTCCAAATACTACTTTTTTTCAAAAATCAAAATTTTTATGCCCAAATGCTTACTTCAAAATAGGAATATTTTACACTAAATCAAATAAATTGCATAAAATATTTTCTTTATCTATGGGCTTTTTTAGTACCTAAAATTTGTCATGCCACGTTCTTTTACCTTTTCATTTCTGTTGTCCTTTTGTTCTTTATACTTCCCATGCATGAAAAGGATGCTAAACTGCTAATAAAAAGCTCCAAACTCATAAGATATATATCTGAGGAATTGTACATAAAACACAAATTGTGTGCCAACATTTCTTGATTCTCATAAAACTTTTGAGTAAAACCTTGCCTTAATTGGCAAAAAACAAAGCATTTCTCCAGTTATAACCTTACAGCTTTGTTTTTCTCTCAGAGTTCATTGACTGCTTTCTTGTTTCTGATTTCTGTTGCAGGTTTAAGCCACATTATTTGATATCAGACTGTAAACTCCATTGGAATCCAGTCTCATTCAAGAATATGGTAGCAACAAGGTCAAGTTTAGCTGCAAAAGTTCTCCCACAACAACCAACAGCTAGATCATTTTCAACACTCAACTGTTGTCCTAAGAAAAAAAGAACTGCCAAGAAAGTCTGTGGCCTTTGCAGTAAGTTTTCCTTCAAATATATACATCGCTTTGTTTTGGAAGTCTCTGTAATTTGTAGTAAGTTCTTTTTTTGTTTTTTGGTAGAAAAGAGTATATTAAAACAACAATAATAACAACAACATGCCCAGTGTATTCCTACATGTGGGTTATGGATCGAGTCGATCCGATTCGTTCTTATCTATAGATAACGCAAGAGAGAACTTATGACCTTGCGGATGGAGAGGGATTCGAACCCCCGGTATTTCTATAAATACTTCAGTTTTCCAAACCGACTCTTTCAACCGCTCAGACATCCATCCCCGTTGCGCTTCGCCCGCCCTATCCATCCGCGCGCTGGCAGGTAGGGGCTTATCTATGTGATTCGCCACGCTTGCCTGTGCCTATCGGCTGATTCTATTGCCTGCCGGTTAGCGAAACTTTTCCGGTGTAATTTGTACGCAAACCTTACCTCTATTATGCACGTAGAGAGGCTGTTTCCAGAGACCCTCAGCTCAAGCAAACAAATTGAAATAATAGTACAGAGTCATAGGATAAGAGACTTTTAAATGATATAAAAGATATATAAAGTCACTATATATTTTTGAACTTCTTAAGAGAATACATCCTTGTTCCATGTTTTGCATTATCATCAGCTACTCCATTTGCTTCTCTAAATGCATGTATCAGTGATAGTTGCCACAGTCTAAGCATCAAATAACCTGCAATCATCAATTAAATAGGGGTAGCAATCATTTCCATGTTATAAAATTATATCCGTGTTTAATGTGACAGCTTCCACTAAAGCTCCAGTAGTTATTGTGACACCAAAGGAGTCAAATGGCAATACTATTTCCCAATTTTCGACGAGCACAATTGCTCCGGAACAAGTTCCTTCACCTCCTATGGTACCATTGAGATCAACCAGTGATAGGCCTTTGCTAATTCCTTGTGATGAAGGGGAAGAACAAAGAGAGACAAAGTTTAAGCCAAATCCTTTATCAAGACTGAAGCAACGTCCAAGAACTAATCATAAACCCGAGATGCTTGAGAAATCGAAGATGATGAGCTTACCTCTGAGACGACTGCTAATGTGGAGGACATGGTTGATTTCAACACGTTGAATTGGTTAGGTGCTGATTATGATTCTTTCTACAGAGATGTGAAGGAATTGATTTCTAGTAAATATGCATTGCAAATTGAAGAGAAGAAAGGAAATATGTCGTCTTTTTTGGAATTGGATAGGACATATGAAGAGGTTGTTATTCGTGCTGATGATATTGAAGAGGCGATTATTAATACTCAAGTAAAGTTAAAAATGGCTGACGAGGAAATGGAACATGTGAAGAGAGAAATCGAGAAGGCAAAAGAACTCATCCAGAGATTGAAACAAATGGTTGCTGAAATTAAAGATCGTGTAGAGCATTTGAAATGCGACGAACAAAAATATAGAAAAGAGCATGAAGCTGCACAGGCTGAGGTAGAAAAACTTGGTACACAAGTAGAAGCAGCTAAAGCAGTGAAGAAGGAAGTTGAGGAGCGCAAGGATGCAGCTCGCAAACGGATTGAATCCATCACTCGACGCCTACAGTGTATGAACCCATCTTAATAGCATTTATATATCTTTATGATTGATGATTTCCATTAGTTGGAGAAAGTTCTGATCATATCTGTTGATCAAAGTAAAGACTATTTTGAATTGTTTTGAGATTTTAGTTAACAGTCAGATTGTGTGTTCATATAACTAGCTAGGATTCTATTCAAATTTCTTTTTTTCAGTATTTATGTAAATGGATTAGTGTTTTAATGAAACTTATTAAAGATTGATAATAATGTCGTATTTGTTAAGATACTGATATAAAATTAGAAGTTCAGAAAATTGTGAAGGAAAATGACTTCCTATTTCCGCTCATAAGATGAACCGATTTGTGGACTAAAACGGTAACAACCCAGACTTTAGACAGAGTCCCACATCGACAAAATACAAGAGGTATGTTGGGTATATAAGTTAACACGCCTTAGACACCAGTGACGCGTTTTAAACCCGTGAGGGCCAGGCCCAGAGCGTGCTCATTCAGGCAACAACGACGATCCAATAAAATTAGACCCCTGCCCGAGGGGCTAGAGAGATCAAGTCTGTTTTGCTAGATTTGTTTTAGCTCTAATTAGGTTGAAGATTTCTTGTAATGGTTAGCCAGTGGTTAGACCAGAGGCAAATTCAGTTCATTATCTCCTAGTTGGTACTTGATATCCAAATTCTAGTTAACTGATTAAGTTTATATTGTAAAATACTTGATCAAGAAATTAATATAACGAAAAAAAGGACCAACAGCCAGGTGCACAAGGTATCCCGTGTTCACATAGGGTCCCAGAAAGGGCCGTAAAGGATGTGATGTGGACGGCCTAAAAAAATGTAAGTATTCAACGACTCAAATCCATGACCCTTACATCTTACTTATGGGTGTTATTTTGTTAGTTTCTTCAAAAGATGGATGTACAACTACATTCTAATTGTCCTAACCATCAAAACAATGAATTCGTGAATGAAAGAATGTCCTTCTCACACTTTTAGTTACTCTCTGCTGCTCCATATTTCTTGTATTTGTGTACTACCAAATTGATCAACTGAAACAAATTGTTGTCATTATCTTCACCTTTTCTGTCTTAAAGCTTCAACCTTTTCACCATTTTGCAGTCCAAAAACCATTTTCAGTCATTCTTATTTTGTCTTCACTTACCAACTTTTACTCCATATTTTCCCTCCACAAAGAGCCATTTTTAAGCCATATTTAAATCTAGGGAGACAATAATTCCTTTCATAACTCAAGCAGTTTTTCACTTTTGTCAAAATATAAATTAAATTATTGGTAGCATTTCTGAAAGAATAGTACGTAGTACAATAAGGTACAAAAAGAGAGCTAGCATATCCTTGATTCTCAGAAAATATCACAGTAGAATCTTTCCTTAATTGGCAAAAACAACCTTTTCTTTCTCCAGCTGTCCATTAGTCTTGTTTCAGTCATCACACATATAGTAGAAACCAGAACATTATTGAAGTTTTTGAAATTTACTCTCTCACTCTTCACACATAGTAGAAAGAGGTTTGAAGAAAAAAGTGAAAACAATATGGTATCAACAAGGTTAAGTTTGGCCAGAAGAAGTTCTCTTCAACTACAACCAGCAACTACCTCATCATCTCCAACACTACAAGAATGTTGTTACAAGAAAAAAAGGAATTCCATCAAAGTCTCTGGGCTTTCCAGTAAGTTCTCTTTATTTACTTTCATGTTTTTCAGTTTTCTTGAAGAGTGTATTTAGCATTTTGGGCTAGCTGTGATAGCACAAATTATCAACCTTAGGTGCCTTTTTCTTTCTTGTTTCTTCAGTAAAAAATTAAAAAGCTCAAGTCTTTACAAGATATAGTAGTTGATTCTTGTCATTTTGGGCTAGCTGTGTAGCACAATAGTAACCCGGGGTACCCTTTTCTTTCTTTTTTCTTTACAACAATAATGACCCAGTAAAATCCTACAAGTAGGGTCTGGCAAGGGTAGTGTATACGCACATCTTACCCCTAACCGGAAGGAATAGAGAGGCAGTTTCCGAAAGACCCTCGACTCAAGAAGACGGAAAAGACGAGAAGAGAAGTGATTCCTTTTTTTTTTCTTTAATGAGACATCAAAAAGCTGAAGCCTTTACAAGATTATAGTAGTTGATTCTTGGCATTTGGGGCTAGCTGTGTAGCACAATGATAACCTGAGTTGCCCTTCTTTTTCTTGTTTCTTCAGTAAAACATCAAAAAGCTGGTCTTTACAAGAATATAGTGGCTATTATATTAGTTAGTGTTTTGATGGGAGTATTTGAAAAGAGGTGACTTTTGTTTTAAAAGGTGCCTATTGAGTCTGTTAGTCCTAACAGATATCTAAAGGGTTTGAAAAGAGGTGACTTTTGGTATTAAAAGGTGTCTATTGGCAAATGTTGAGTCTGTTAGTCCTAACAGACACCTAAAGGGTTTATAAATACCCTTTTCTTCTCCAAAACAAAATCATCAGAAAAGCAAAAAAGTATCTTCTTCTTTTCTGCTATCTTCAATTCACCAAATTTGTTCAAGTGAAAATTCGAGTTAATTGCTGGTGCTCGAATTTCAGAGGCTTTGTAAAATCCTGGAGGAATTCTGCCATAATCCCTGCAGCAACGAAATTGAGAGGCTTAAATTCCTTAAGGACAGTGACTACACTATCAAAGCCTAATTATTTCGTCCCTATATTCTGTTATATTTTCTAACAATCTTAAGGAATTTAACAACACTGCAATGGAGGCTTCTGGTAGTGATTCTGGTTTCAACAAGATGTTCGAAGTGTTCAAACTGGATCGATTTGATGGCTCAAATTTCACCCGCTGGAAAGACAAATTGCTGTTCTTTCTCACGGAGTTGGGAATAGCATATTTGCTGAGTTCTAATCTTACCGCAATGCCAGAACTTACTGCTGAAGACTCTGACGAAATTAAGGCGGCACGCAAAAAACGTGAAGATGATGAGGTGCGCTGTAGAGGTTTTATTTTAAACTCACTTTCTGATCGTTTATATGATTTGTTCCGTCCTCACAAATCACCACAAGAAATCTGGAAAGCATTGGAACAGAAATATACTGTTGTGAAGCAAGGAACGGACAGATTCCTTGGAATGAAATTTTTTGAATTTCAAATGATAGATGGGAAATATATCATGGAACAGGTTGATGAGTTGCTGGTTTTGATATCTAGACTCAAAGATTTTAAAGTCGATGTTTCTTAATCTCTTCAAGTGGCTGCTATACTTGCAAAATTACCAGCCACTTGGAATGACTATAGGAAGAAATTATTACATTCTTCCGAAGACTTTAATGTGGACCAGTTGACAAAGCATATTCGGATTGAAGAAGAGTCACGAAAACGTGAAAATAAATATGCTGCGGAAACTAGTTCAAAGGTGAATTATGTTGAGTCTAGTAAGGCAAACAACTCAGGAAAATCTAGAAACAAGGCCGGAAAGAAGAGAAAGTTTGAGGCTGCTCCAAAGGAAAATTCTTCTAACATTAAGAAAGGTCCATGTTATACTTGCGGAAAAATGGGTCATTTTAAGAGAGATTGCAAGTTTCGTAAGAGACAGAAAAATGAAGAAAATGCTGGACAGAAGAGGGTAAATAATGTTGAACAACAACAAGCTTCTTCTTCGGATATTGTTGCTATGATTTCTGCTTTTACCAACTTGAATCTGAGTATGGTAACTGAATGCAACATGGCAGCAACTATGAAATCTGCAGATTGGTAGTATGATTCCGGTGCTACAGTTCATGTATGCAATGACAAGAGTTTCTTCAAACATTATGAAGTTGCAACAAGTGATGAAAATGTTTTAATGGGAAATCATGACACCGCCAAGGTCTTTGGAAAAGGAACAGTTGAACTACAATTTACTTCGGGAAAGAAGTTGATTTTAATTAATTTTCATCATGTACCTGATGTTAGGAAGAATTTAATTTCTGCAAGTTTATTAAGTAAGAAAGGCCTCAAAACTGTTATAGAGGCAGAAAAGATTATTTTCTCTAAGAATGGTGTATTTGTAGGACAAGGTTACTCTTGTGAGGGCATGTTCAAATTAACTATTAATAAAGTTGAAGTTTCTGCTTATATGATTGAGTCATCTATTAATTTATGGCATGCTAGACTTTCACATGTTAATTTTCGATATGTTAAGTTTATGTCTAAAAATAAATTAATTCCTGTTGTTGAGAATAATGATAAAAAATGTGAAATTTGCATACAAGCTAAGATGACTAAGAAATCTTTTCCAAAGAATGAAAGAACAAGTAATCTACTTGAACTTGTGCATTCCGATATATGTGAATTGAATGATCATTTAACTAGAGGTGGAAATAGATACTTTATTACTTTTATAGATGATCATTCTAGATATACACATGTTTACTTAATGAAAACAAAAGATCAAGCATTTGATATGTTTAAGAGTTACAAAGCATTAGTTGAAAATCAATTGGAAAAGAAGATTAAAATCCTACGTAGTGATCGAGGAGGCGAATATCTTTCCAATGAATTTTCTGTATTTTGTGAAGAAAATGGTTTGATTCACCAAGTTAGTGCACCGTATACCCCACAACAAAATGGTCTTTCTGAAAGAAAAAATAGAACGTTGGTAGATATGGTTAATGCCATGCTTTTACATGCAAAGTTACCAACGAATTTGTGGGGGAAGCTTTGTTAACAGCTTGTTTTGTGCATAATAGAGTTCCTTCAAAGAAATTTAAGGTTTCACCATATGAATTATGGAAAGGAAGAAAGCCTAACCTAAATTTCTTAAGGGTATGGGGTTGTTTAGCCTATTATAGAATTCCAGATCTTAAAAGGACTAAGTTAGGACCTAGAGGAATTAAAAGCATATTTGTAGGATATGCTGAGAACTCAAAGGCATACAGATTATTAGACATTGAGTCTAAGTATATTGTGGAATCTAAAGATGTTGAGTTCTTGGAAACAAAGTT